CTTTTTCCACATTCTTGAGTATCTTCTTCAGATAAATTCAAAGATGGAATTACTGCCTCAAACCCATTTACATTACACAAGTTTTGGTACTATTGGCGGAGCCTTCATGTTTTATCAGAATTGAGCATCACACCTCCCACCTGCAAGAGTAGGTGTCAAGGTCAAGGGCTGCCAGCTTTTATGATACCATCCTGCCACCCCAAGAGGCCAGTTAGCAACTTTGGCGAATAGGAAATGCTTCTTGCCTTCCGCTTACACCCGATCTTCCTCCTCCACTCCCCTCTCCGACCCTACCCAGGTGCCAGAGGTTCAGTTGTTCTTCCATGAGCCCCATGTTGATCTCTTTCTATCAATATATTTTCCTCATTTATTCTACGCACCATGAAATTTAATACAATATTGTATTTTTGCTTCATAATTTCTTGCTCTGGATTGTAAGCATAGTGAATATGGGAAAAAAAGAAAGGTGAAATTCTTTTACTTGAATCCACTGTCTACTGATGTGTCTCCTGGTGTCTTTTCTGAAGGTTTACTTTTCTTTCCAGAAGCCAGCAAGTTCTCCCTGATGCATCCTCTTCTTCTTTCAGATGCTGCGTGGAACAATTGGGTAGAAAATAACACTGAGTCCCACGTAGAAAACATCACCTTGTATCAGAATCAAGAGGACATTTCAACAGTGGCCTTCAAAGGGGATGTGTTGAGTCAGACCTCCGGGAAGAGCCACGCTGCTTCGGATGCTCCAGAAAACCTCACTCTGTTCACTGAAACAGCAGATGCTAGAGGAAGGAACGGCTCTTCAAGTAGAACAAACTTCACTATTTCACCTGTTGGGTACTCGCTGGAGATAGCAGCAGCTCTGACTTCCCAGAGCGGCGCCTTAGGTGAGCTTGTGCTGATGATGTGCATTTCACACATGCGCATCCAGTCCTGGAGAACAGAGTTTCTGCCATTTCCCACAAGCCCATTCTGAGCCACTGTGCCCTTCCAAGGTTCCTAGGCTGATGTGGGTCAGACATGTGGCTTAGGCCTCATTTGTATGATGCTTGTCCCTGTGCAGATTCGCTGAGTGGCCTCTCTGGTCCTTTGGTATCTGTGATCCATGGCTAGTGGAATCCAAAATTCATTCCTTCTCCAGGGAGCCTCCCACACCTGAGGGTCTCAGAGGCAGTATGTTTTGTGGGATGCATAGCTGGGGCAGGCCTGGGTTTGGTTTGTGTTGATGTGACCCAAATGTTTGTTCTTGCTCTGGTGTGCACAATTTGGTGCTTTGCTATCTTTAGCAAAGAATGTTAAGAAGGTGCTGGGGGTCAGTACATAAGGTTTGATTGAGGAAGAGAAGACTAAGAAAAGTAGCATTAATTGGGGACCTCCTACATACCACTGTCTGTTTCGTCAGTCTTTCCAGCATGTCTGTTGCGTCAGTGTTTCCAGCAAGCCCACAAGGTCATGTTATTCTCCTTTTAGGCATTTGGAAACTGAAGCTCAGAGAAGTGAGTTGACCCAATAAGTGTAGGTCAAACAGTTAACAGGCTTCAGAACTGGGATTGGAGTTTATGCCTGTGTATCTGAGCGAGGTGGCGGGGGCGCTGAGGTGTGGAATGTCTGGACAACGGGAGTGAAGTACAGAGTAGAGAAGGACAGGTGTGGCCTCCCTGCAGGGTGGCAAGGCCAGCAGCCTCCCTTGGGGAGGGCGTCAGTTGCCCATAGAGGTGAGGAAGAGCAGGTAGGACCATTGTGTGGACAGGGTTGGGGATAATCACATAGGACTTCGGAAACCTGGCAGTTTAGATTTGGTGTGGTAGGAAGAGTCAGTGAAGGTTTTGAGCAAGTGAGTGATTTAACTAAAGTGAATTTGGGAGGATCACCTGGCAGGCAGGTACAGGATGTCTAGCGTGGGAGTGGGAGGATGGAGGGAACCTGGAAGGGACCACCCAGGCAGACAGAGAAATCCAGACACCAGGTGCTGCAATGTGTCCTGTTGGCCACAGGGACGAAGAGGAAGGAATTGGTAGGACTTGCTGATGGCCTGAAAGTAAAGGATGAAGCCGTCAGAGATGACTCTATGGTTTCAGGTCCTAGTGGCAGGAGGTCTGGTTGGGGGGACTCGATTCTGTACAGATGCATATGGTAGTATTTTGTATTCATAAATGATTCCTACAGAGCTTAGAAACTCTGCTCATGGTATTCATGGTCTTGTTCTCCCAGATGCTGGGAATTTTGTTTATGTTGCATTCAGGTAAATTCTGGGACCCATTTGGTTGACGTGGGTGCCGGGTCCTGATCAGACCCTGATCTCTGATTCCGTATTGTCTGATACGTACCTCCCATTTGCCCCTTTTCTGAGAAGTTTACCACAATACACAGAACCTTTGTGAGATCTACAAACAGTGTCTGCCTTGGTTTGTGGTCTTTTTAAGAGTTTATTTTTCATGGAATGAATTATTCTCCTAATTTCTTCTAATGTCTATATATTTTATAGATGTGCAAACTGAGCCCCCTCAAAAGATATTAAGACATTTGAAGTCTGCTGGTGGAATTCTAATTGTTGCTGTCTGTTTTCAGCCTCGGAAAGTCTTCACCTGCCATCTAGCAGTTCAGAGTTCGGTGAAAGAGTTGCCCCTTTGCAAGCAAAGAGTGGAACAACCTCAGAGATGGGAACAGAGAGGGCAATGGGGCCGTCAGAAGGAGTGTCTGTGCACAGCCAAGAGGCCACGACTTCAGTTTTGAGCCCGTCCTCTCTTCCTGCTTTGGAGATGGGAGAACTGACCATGCCTCCTCAGAAGAGAAATTCCTCAGGCCCAGATCTCTCCTGGATGCATTTCTCCAGGACACTGGCTTCGTCTCCTCTCTCAGACCATCTCTCATGTGAGTGCCAGATCCCCAGCTTAACACTTGGAAGTCACTCAAAGTAGACATAAATCAATGTGCATAGCCAGCTAGTTGCATACCCATAGTAGAGGGTAAGGGGAGAAGACATCAAGCCAAAATGCCATTCCTCTAATGCCAGGTACTTGGGGCGGAAGTAGGTACAACCTACCCAGTTTATGTCAGTATTGAAGCTCATGTTTAACACAGGTTTTTGGGTTTTTATTTTGTTTTGTTTTGTTTTTGTCACTCACACTTGAGTGCTGTGATGCAATCTCAGCTCACTGCAACCTCTGCCTCCCAGGTTCAAGTGATTCTCCTGCCTCAGCCTCCTGAGTAGCTGGGATTTCAGGTGGCCATCACCATGCTTGGCTAATTTTTGTATTTTTATCAGAGACGGCATTTCACCATGTTGGCCAGGCTGGTCTCAAACTCCTGACCTCAGGTGATCTGCCTGCCTCAGCCTCCCAAAGTGATGGGATTACAGGCATGAGCCACTGCTCCTGGCCCACCACTGGGTTTTGATGGGAATTCTGTATGCATAAACTTAAGGCAGTTTCCTGGGAATAAAAGTGTTTTGAAAGAACCTCCAGCAAGCTGATGAGGCTGTAATTTGGTGGTCGTAAATAATGACTCTAATGAAGTTAGGGCCGAGACACCACGTGGTTGAGTGGGGATTTGGGGCACGTCTATTATACATTCCTTTCTTATATACTGAACTGTTTTTTGTTTGGTTGGTTTGGTTTCGTTAGGTTTGATTTATGTTTTGAAGTAGAGGTAGGTTTTGGTGGTCTGGGACTCTCTTTTTGTGTCCAGGTCTCTCTGTTTCTTGTTTTAGTTACTAGTTTTATAGATTGCCTGCATCTTCATTTTGTGTTCATTAAGGTCAGGTGACCAGAGCTGCTGGCTATGTTCTAGGTATACCTAGTTTTATGGTTTTCCACAAGAGTGAGAGGAACATTTTTGTTTCCCATGCTTGCTTGCCCTCTGTCTGTCTGTCTCTCTCTCTATGTCTCTCTCTCTCTCTCTCTCTCTCTCTCACTGTAGTGATATTTAAAATTTATTTGTTGTTTTGGTCACAACTACACATAGGACTGGTCTTCAAGAAAGTGTTTATAATGACAACTTCCTTTTTTCCCTTTCCTGGGCTGTAATTAACAGCTCAAAGCCTTTCATTTTATAGGGGTAGGGTACTTTTTATTATTTTTAGCTTAAAAAGAAAAAAAACACTCTTTTTTGTACCTTTAGTCTTACCTACCATGTTTCTTCCCATTCCCTAAGCTTTCCTGCAGTTTATTCCTGTTTGGAATGAAGATTTTAATAGACCTTTCTGGAGGGCAGATCTCAGGGCATCCTTTGGAAAGTTCTCTGTGGAGCGGAGCCACCTGTACTTCCATAGAGCAGACTACTCCTTTTGACCAATAGTGTCTGCTTCACTCCTTGAGGGTCTTGACAGTTTCCCATGGATGGCAGCCATGAATTAGAGAAACTGCTCCTGGAGTCCTTGATCTCCAAGGGGCCCATTGGAGTAGTGTGCAGATTTGAGAGCTGGTCTCTAAAGCTTAATGAGGCAAAGTATGATCATGAAGCCTGTTTGCTGTTGGGTAGAATTAAATTTGTGGGGTAATAATAAGTATTTCCTGCTGGTTAGAAATTTTGTTACTGAATAAATGCAGTTTGGTTAATAATCTTTCAAGACATAAGGCTCATGGTGGCTGTGAGGTGGGGAATCATAAAGAACCCTTGATGGTGACAAGGCTGGGAATTATTGCTCTAGGCCGTGAGTGTCCCTGCCGTGTTCTGCAAAACCCTGGGCCCTCTGAGTAGTGAGCTGGGTGGGGCCCCTTGCAGCAGCCCCACATTTATTCATTTTATGTATGAGATTTTAATCAATGATAGCATTTGATTGAACAAATGGGTTACATTGCTAAAACAAAGCAAAATAACAAAAACCGTATCACAGTGGCCAGTCCTGTTTAAGCTGTAATGTAGAATTTAGCAGACATTTCATCTTTGTCTATAAAAAACAAATAATACATATAACGTATAAGTTTCTCACTGTGCCTGGTGAGGGACCTTGCTGTTCTCCACTTTCTTCTATGAGAATTAGAACTAGTGAGGGAGAGCGCAGGCATGTGTCCTGGTCACACGTGTGTATATAGATATGTTTGTATCTATATTAGGTCCACAGCATTTAGGTGTATCCACCAAAATGTAAGAAACATCATTTGTATCTCAAATACAGTCCTGATTTTCTTAAACTCCTGAATAATTTTGAAGCATATCTTCTTCTGTCATAGCTTCTGGAAGTACAGAGAAGCTTAACAAGTCCACTGGCGTCCAGAGCCCCTCAGTCAGTCAAACAAAGACAATGCACGTTGCCACCGTGTTCACTGATGGTGGCCCCAGAACGCTCCGATCTTTGACAGTCAGTCTGGGACCTTTAAACAAGACCGAGGGCTTCCCTGAGGACTCCAGAATTGCCATGACTTCAGCCTCAGTCCATCCTTCACCCTCTGCCGTGGAATCACAAAGCAACAGAGGAGTAACTGGGAATCCAGGGGATGGGGAATTCATTGAACCATCCACGGAACATGAATTTGGACTTAAATCTTTGCATTGGCAAAATGATTCCCCAAGTAAGTATTCCATCTTTACTTGATCTATTAGGGACGATGTGAATCGTTGAATTTTCTTAGGGGATCTCCTCAAGACCATTTGTAATCTCCGGAGAAAAGTATGCTCTTTAATGGCACTATTGCATTTTGATGTTCACTCTTACAAGAACATTGTGAAGTTAGTCAGACAGGTGTCATTCCTCCTGCTTTCTTATAGATGAGGAAACTATGGCTCTGGGGGCCAGTTTAAGTAATGGGTGCCTGGCCATTTAGCTCAGTCAGTAGAGTTGAGACCTTAGCCTCCGGGTTCTCGGTTCCGTCTTCTTTTCACTCTACAGCATTGTCTTCAAGCCGAGAGCTGGCCTGCTCTTTATGTTTTATTTTTATTTTGTTTTGGAGAGAAGGTCTGTCACCATCACCCAGGCTAGAGTGCAGTGGTGTGACCACGGCTCACTGCAGCCTCGACCTCCCAGGCTCAGGTGCTCTCCCACCTCAGCCTCCCGAGTAGCTGAGACTACAGATGCTTGCCACTCCACCCAGCTAATTTTTCTATTTTTTTGTAGAGATGGGGTCTTGCCATGTTCCCAGGCTGGTCTTGAACTCCGAGGCTGAAGCTATCCTCCCTCCTTCCCTCCCAAAGTGCTGGGATTACAGCCATAAGCCACTGTGCCCTGCCTGGCCCACTCTTTAAACCAGCTTCAGTTATTTTGTGTACAGATCATCTTTCCACATGAATGTGCAGATTCATTCATTCCCAAATTCATGGTTTGTCCTAATCCTTATAGTTGATTTTTTATTTTTATTTTTTCTATACTTTGGAATTAGAATAACCTTTATTCATATGAGAACTGTTTTAGGAAAGTCCTCTGACTGTGCGCTGTGTTTATGTACATCGTATTTGTTGTACATAACCACACTCTCAGTCTCTCCAATGCTTATGGGAAAGAGAATGGAACACTCAAGTCTATAGGTCCCTCTGCTACTTGCACATGTTGTTTCAAAGGTTCCCTGTTCAACAAGTTATATTTTTTGTATTGCTGTCTTGTTGCCACCTGAGAGTCTTGAGTAACTATTTAGAATATGATATTGCATAATACATTTAATAAACACTATACCATGTTCCTTGGCAAAGAATCTTTCCTCGGAGAGGTTTCACTTGTTAGTTGCGAAGGGATCTCTTTCATATCTCTGTCATGGCCTTTTTTCCCACGACGCCTTACAGCCTTTGGAGAACATCAGCTTTCCAGCAGCTCTGAGGTGCAAAATGGAAGTCTCTTGTCTCAGACTGAGACTGTGTCTAGGTCAGTGGCACCCATGAGAGGTGGAGAGAGCACTGCACGCTGGCCCTTGACCAACAGCGCGGCATCTGCAGATGTGACAGCAAGCTCTGCTTCGTATCCTGAAGGTGTGAATGCTTCAGTGTTGACCCAGTTCTCAGACTCAACTCTACGGTCTGGAGGAAGTCACACAGCATTGGGAGATAGGAGTTATTCAGAGTCTTCATCTACATCTTCCTCAGAAAGCTTGAATTCATCACCAGCACGTGAAGAACATTCAAGTGAGTTTTTCCAGTTCATGCAACTGTGCCCCATGGAGGAGAGAGGGACTCATGATGCTTATGACATCTGCGGCATATTAAAACTATGCATGAGGGCTGGTTACAATGGCTCATACCTGTAATCCCAGCACTTTGGGAGGCCAAGGCTGGTGGATCACCTCAGGTCAGGAGTTTCAGACCAGACTGACCAGCATGGTAAAACCTCATCTCTACCAAAAATACAAAAAATTAGCCAGTCATGGTGGCGGGAACTTGTAATCCCAGCTACGTGGGAGGCTGAGCCAGGAGAATCATTTGAACCCAGGAGGTGGAAGTTGCATTAAGTCGAGATCATGCCACTGCCCTCCAGCCTGGGCAACAAGAGTGAAACTGTCTCAAAAAAAAAAGAAAAATAAAAATAAATACAAACCATGCATGAATGAAATAACTCCTGAGGCCCCTCCAGCTTCCTTATTCCCCAGGCCCTTCTTCTAGCTGATTGATACAGATACACCTATATATCCCCCATTTTTCTGGCACATCTCTGAGAAGCTGTTCTTGCCACTTCTTCTTCCCACACACAGCTCAGGGACTTCTCTGTCTACCTCCACTCATTTCCTGCAGCCTAAATCATAACTCCATACCTGCTTCAGTTACAGAGCTTCTGGAAGGTGAAAATATCACCTTCTCGTGAGTAGTTGTCAGGGCATTCATCAAAAGAAATTCTTTTTTAAAAAACAGCTTTATTAAGGCATATTTCACATTCCATCATATTGGCCCATTTTAAGTACACAATTCAGTGATTTTTAGTGTAGTCGCAAAGTTATACAGCATCACCATTGTCTAATTCCAGAACATTTCCATCACCCCAACAAAACTCCAACCTCATCAGCCATCACCTCCCATTCTTCCCTCCTCCTAGTTCCTGGCAATCACTCCTGTGCTTTCTGTTTCTGTAGATGTGTCCATTCTAGACATTTCCCATAAATGAAACCATGCAATATGTGGTCTTTTGTGTCTTTCCCTTAGTGTCATGTTTTCAAGGTCTATCCATGTTGTATCACAACTTCATTCCATTTGCAGCTTAATAATATGCCGTAGCAGGCCAGGTGTGGTGGCTCACGCTGTAATCCCAGCTATTGGGAGGTCGAGGCGGGCAGATCACGAGGTCAGGAGATCGAGACCATCCTGGCCAACATGGTGAAACTTCGTCTCTACTAAAATACAAAAAAAAAAAAAAAAATTACCTGGGTGTGATGGCGCTCCCCTGTAGTCCCAGCTACTTGGGAGGCTGAGGTAGGGAAATCACTTGAACCTGGGAGGCAGAGGTTGCAGAGAGCTGAGATTGTGCCACTGCACTCCAGTCTGGCGACAGAGGAAGACTGTGTCTCAAAAAAACATATGCCATAGCAGGGATATACCACACTTTGTTTATCCTGTCATCATCTGATGGTGTTTGAGTTGTTCCCACCTTTTGTCTATTATGAGTAATGATGTGGTGAACAATCACAAGTGTGTATGTGGTCGTAAATTTTCAATTATTTAGTAATGGCCGGGTTATATTGCAGCTCTATTTTTAGCCTTCTGAAGAACTGCCAAACTCTTTTCCAAAGTGGCTGCATCATTTTATATTCCCATCAGCAGTGTACAAGTGTTCTAATATTGCTACATCTTCACTGACGTTTGTAATCATCCATCTTTTCTGATTGTACTCATCTGAGTGAGTGTGAAGGCATCTCCTTGTGGTTTTGACTTGTATTTCCCAGTTGACTAATAATGCTGAGCATCTTTTCATGTGCTTCTTGGCCACTTGTGTGTCTTCTCTGAATATGTCTATTCAAATCTTTTGAGTATTTTATTAAAATTCTTTATTTGACTTTTTATTATTAAATTGTAAGAGTTCTTTGTGGCCAGGCGTGGTGGCTCACGCGTGTAATCTCAGCACTTTGGGAGGCCGAAATGGGCGAATCACTTGAGGTCAGGAGTTCTAGACCAGCCTTGCCAAAATTATTATAGGCGTCTATAATAAAAATATAAAAATTAGCTGGGCACAGTGGCACATGCCTGTAATCCCAGCTACTCGGGAGACGGAGGCAGGAGAATCACTTGAAACCTGAGGAGGCAGAGGCTGCAGTGAGCTGAGATCGTGCCACCGCACTCCAGCCTGGGTGACAGAGAGAGACTGTCTCAAAAAAAAAAAAAAAAGTTATTTGTATATTCTGGATACAGTCTTTTATCAAATACATGTAATCTGCAGACATTTCTTCCATTCTGTGCGTGGTCTTTCTCTTTCTTGATGATATCATTTGTAGCACAAAAGTTTTTAAATTTGAAGACGTTCAATTTGTCAATTTGAGAAAATTTTTCTTTTGATGTTTCTTTTTAATAATGCTTTGGGATAACTTTTTTAAAACAATTCTCAGCAGTCTTTTATCAATGTAAAGTATATTCTGACTAAAGCAAAAATGTATTCGCTTATCATGTAAGCTTTGAAGAGGTTTAAATTCTTACTTCTCCACCACTAATAATAGCTCCATTTCCCCCATATGAGAATCCTAATTGATGAAGAAGATTAGCATTTCTTAATACTCCTGTGATATGGAAAAGCATATGCTTATCATGAAAGAATACCACACATACGAGTGGGGGATATTTATGCTCTTCTATGTCTGTGCCGGGAAAACACTTTCTCTGTCTGCTAAGCAAAGGGAATCATTTTTCACCCTCGCTACTGTGGAGCTCAGGGCTTTTACCTTCTTAAACCAGGATCTTGGGTTTCATACCCTTTCCCTTTTACATCTCTTTAGTACCCCTCTTCTCTGCAATTAATGCTCAGTTGGTTCATGTGGAAAATGTGATTTCAGTGTGATCAGATGTTGGAGTTCAGTTATAAAGAGCTAGATAAGAAGTAGCCACATCCCTGAAACCATCTCACTGTGGGTTACACAATTCTTTATCTCATTCCCTCAGAATCACTCAAGCTGATGGGCTCTGCACTCTACCCTTTCAGAGTTCTGGCCCACTCCCTTTTCTGCATTCAGATTCAGCCCCTCTAGTTCATGCTGTGACTCTCTCTCCACTTTATTAAGCCCATAACCCTGATGTGGTCATCGGCCTAAATTTCATTTAACAGAGAGAAGGATCTCCGCCTCCAAGGCCTTTTTCCCTTTGCCCAGAGAAACCGTGTGCAGATAGATCCTGCTCTTGAGCCTCTCCTGGTTGGCTCTCCACTGGTCTGGAGCCCTTCAGCCTGGCTTGAGTCACATCTGTCTCTGGCTTTTGGCTTTCTCAGTGATGCTCATGGCCCACGCTCATC